GATAGACAAATTTAAGAGTGATTTCGAAGAAACGAAGCTGTTGACATGGAAAAAAATAACGATGCAAACCAAAGTCGAGTGGTTAATTATAAAGTTTTGGAAAATTTCTTTTAGGAAGACTTTATGAACGCCTAATTGTAGATGATTCGTGATTCAAATGAGGGGCATGATAATGCCTTGATGATTAGACCGAAGCAGATGACTGATTTAAGGGACTTACTGCTGAGACTTTGACTTGAAGCCTGAATAATAAGGGGGTGGAGCAATGCAAATTGTTACATTCCCAAAGTTGTAGACAACCAAGGTAGGTTCATTCACCATTTTTCAATTCTAAATCATAGTGCTTATGAGCATCATTAGTTTGGAGTTCGGGCTTACCATCTCATCTGGATGGTACCTTATTGCCTGTCAGTAACATTTACACTGGATACGGCCTTTCACCTTCTTGGTTTCGTTGAAACACACTACACCACGTATAGATAGTGACTTGGACATCACTATTGATGGGTCGTTTTTATGTAATAATCAATAAGGTTGCTGAAATACATTAAAACAAAGTTTTTGAGACATTAAAAAATCGTGATATTTAACAATTACAAAGTTGTAAGTAGTTCTGAGCATTAAAATACGTTTCTTGTCACACCACAAATTATTGATTAGTGTTTTCGAGGGAATGCAATACACTTTAGCTTTCTAGATGCACCTTAACTAGTTAAAAATACAAAATTCATTTATATAATGAAGAAAAACCTTTATATTAATCTAGTGGTAATCAAATTTCTCCGAAATTTGTAATCCCCTTTCAGGTGATTTACTGAGTTGCAGAGACTCATTTTTGGTTCAGTTAGTCGATTATCACAGTTAATTAAAGTTTCTCATTGTTCAAATATGAACAACTGTAGAGTTAAAAAATCACGCTTCCCTAAGTTTGCATATTTTAATGAAGATTAATTCCCGGATTAACTTCAATCGACAACTAACCAAGACACGGAAATGACCATCATAACTCACTAGGCTAGTAAGTATGACTTTTGGTATTCTGAGCTAGAACCGTTTACCTCTAGAGGAGTATCACTACTGGTGTATCCGAATCAGAATGTTTTCATATTACCACAGTAAACCTACTTTTAATATTCCGCTATTGTTTAGACTGAATTCTAGTTGATGCCAAGAGTTTTCTATTGAGGTGTTTTTATGATAAAAATAAACATGTATCAGTCGATGCCAAATTTTATCAACTACTCTCTGTGTTAACTGTATGATGTACATACCGCAGGACTAATCATCATTTCAGAACTTCGCTTATAACAACTAATCATTTTTCGAATTTTTCCAGTACTCCTTTTTTCTTCTATTGAAGCGTTGAATTTTAATATCAAGCCATATCATGAAACCTTACTGTCATCTTTGTGATGGTGGGACACTACTGAAGTTTGATACTACGGGAATTTGACACAAGCTTGTTATTACTCATTTCAATGCTTACTCTGGTAATTTGCAATCTTTGTAGTCTCCTTTTCACTTCCCTAGAAGGTGTAGTTGTGTAAATATCTCATAGTTTGTAGGTCAGTGCTGTAGAAAGTTAAAACTAAGAGACGTCACCGGTGTTTGATGACAGACTGTTTGTAAGAAAAACTATTAAGTTGAGAATTACTAGCCATTTCATTATGCCTTACTATCCAAACATTATCCTACTGATTCCAGTCTTGATGTTTTCATAAGTAATTAAATATATTCAGATCATCATTAAGTAGATAATTCTAAATCTTTTTCTTATTTTTTAACCATCTATCTGTTCTTCAAAATTAAGGTGATGAAATGGTAAAATCTACTAACCAGTGATGTGTTTAGCTACTACTCAGTCATATATATTGGCTTTTCTTTTGGCGTCAGTATACTTTGAAAATGTAATGAACATTTCACCCACTTAAATCCGACTTCATTTCAGCTAGTTGCTTTCGTGGACTGACATTTTTAGGTAGATTTTATCATACAAGAAAGTAAATTACAGAAATATTAAAAACCTTAGAACACAGAAAGACGATCTATTTCTCGCGTAGGATTCCCTAGAAGTGCACACCGCTGACTATATGAAGGATTACACCCGCAACAGTCAAGTCTCTTAACAGACGTTTTACCATTGAGCCAATGTATTCGAACCTGTTGATTTGAGCTTACCGAACTCTGTCAGACTTCAATATAGCACAGCACTCTTTCAAGGTGATCATGGGTATGCGTCTTTACGCCCAGGTTGACGTGGCATTGTGGACTTATGCACTTCTGTGCAAAATTCTGTTTTAGTTTGCTTCAGTTCATCATAATATAAACTGTGCAGAATAACTGCTTAACAAAATCTCAGTGCGTCTGGAGAATAGGAAAAATATGAGTTTACTCAAAAATCATGTTATTCCATGTTAGACATAGTTTTTTTGTTATTGACTTTTGTGTTTCTAAAAGTGATATGTTTATCATTTTATTTAGCTACCATTCAGGTGTATGTGTAACTGGAGAAGTAAGACTAGCCGATTGGTTGTTGGTTTTATATATGTTAGCATCATGTTTTTGTTGTTTTGTGTTGGTTGTTCAGTTTCTTTTTCCTTGTCTACCGTTCAGTGTTCAATTTTTTTTCATTTTGTTTGTCATATTGCTTGATAGAGGATATTTTGTCCACAACACTATCCATGTTCTTGTCAATAGAGATTCTAAGCGATTGTCTACATGCAAAGTTGTTTCTTTTGTCGTAGCGAAGGCTAATATTTTCTAGAAATATCTCGAGTTCTTGTGAACACGGTGAAACTATCAAGTGAATAGTAAATTGAATTAGTATCAGGTGCAGTTGATTTAGCTTTAAGAGAACTACCATTTATTGAGCAAAATTTTGGATGCCATTTTTTTCTTTCAGTGCTACTTAACACTTTTATGATGAATAATTAATTAGGTGATTAGTACAAGTCGGCACAAACTATCAGAATCTATGGTTATAGCTTTGATACTATAGCTTGTAAATCTTCGTCGATGGCTGGAGCAGTTTGTAAACCGCCATTGAGATGTGATCTCCTCTGCAGATGCCTAGATATCCCTGGTATTTTAAGTTAAAATAATAATACTGGATACTGCCTAGCAGTGGAATACAGAACACGCATTTCTTCCTATTTGAGACTCGTCATCTAGATGTACCTGCCTCCCAGTGAGTAATGTTGTTTCCAATAAGATGGGGATTTCCAAGCTACAACATCAAAACTGTACTATGCCCGTCACACAAAGAATGGCTATCGTGACTCCCTGGTCCGATGGAAAACACTTTGGCGTTCGAAGTGGTCGGTCTGGTATTCGAGTGTTAGTAGCAACAGGATCACTCACTGAGAGGCAGGTACATCCGGCTGTAGAGTCCCACGTAGGACAAGACGCGTCGTCTGAATTCCAGTGCTAGCCAACATCCATTACTATATATGGTTATGGCTTTGGTTTTAACAGTAGCAATTCATTTTTCTGATTTTGACAGTTCTCACTGCACAAATTTGTATGATTTTAATTTATTTATCCGGATATACGTGATGACTTATTTTTATAAGCATAAATTTTGTTCAGTGTAATTATGAATTTTCATGCTTGATTTCACAAGATATAAGTCTCGCATTTTGCGTAAAAAGTGTGGTGATTTATTCATGCGTATATTAAGCAAACAGCATTTTTTGCTATGGATCGATAAGTCCTGTAGTAAAGTTTGGATAGAAATGGCCTATTAGCCAACAGTTTCACTTTTCATAGAAAAATGGGACATTAAAAAAAGCGATAGGTGTCTAGTACTTAAAGTAACTGAACCATTTTTGTACATTCATATAAGCTGTCTACCTAAGGATGCAATCAATGTACCCTGTGAATAAAATGATAGAAAGGTAATTTGGATGGCTGAATGAAAATCTGTCTATTAGTTGTAAATCTTTTGGTGTATCGAATACTTTGAAGTCATCTGAATAGGTTTTAGAGAAAGTATACTTTTATCTTCAAAAGTATGTGGTGACGTGTTTAGGACCCATTCATGAATGACACAAGTTACTGACCATATTTGCTGTAACCGAAAGTCTACACTGTGTTCGTTTTCTTCTTTCTTCATAATAGTAATAGTGATCAAAATAACAAAAATAATAATAGTAACTTTATAGCAAGCAAGACTTATTGTTCAATATGGAATTCTCATCATGTTATACTTAAATTCATTCCCTGTACAGTATCGTTAAGCAATATAATCATTACATTTGATTAGTGTTAATAATATCAGTAATAATAAGCTGCACAGTAAAACAACGATCTGATATTCCTTTAACATCTGGCTCGGACTGGTGAATGAATAGAATATCAACGATAATTTTAGTGATGGTAGTTTATTCAGTCCATATCAAAATCTGCATTTCGATATTATTGTCCAATCAATAATGATATACTGTATTTCTGTGCATTTATAAGCCCATCTCTTACTGGCGTATCGTTTATTCTTGTTGTTCGCTTCAAATAAGGTAGTTTGAAGCCATTTAAATAGTGCACAAGAGTACTTGGCGCATTTAAACAACATATTTATAAGATTGAAACAAACTAAAAGTGATAAATCTTACGAAATAAATTAGTTGGAAAATTTCCGATAGCCCAAAGTTTGAGCAGTCTACCACCATCGAAGCAAGTAGACTGGCGAGGGAAACGATAATTTCAACTAAACACACCAGTTTGTGATTTTGAGTTGAGTAATTGAATTCTGTTTGTGATTTTCATATATTTTTAAATTTCTCTTGATGTTGTTCTCCATGTCTTTTCCTTGTCTATTGTTGTGTTTATCTGTTTTATGATTAGTCTGCAGATAAATATTCGTTGTCCTGTCATGATCACTATTTGCATAGTTATGGGATGGTTTATTTATTTATTGTGGTCAACCACAAATTAAATTCGTAACAAAATCTTTTAAATTTTGAAAAACTTTTTTCAGTATGACTTTTTTTGTTTTATTCAAGGATCACTAACTTTGGCCAAATCTGTAAAATTCTCAAAAACTCTACCTGATTTATTGAATGTTTCTGAAGGAGATCATATTAAACTGGTATGTTGCCTTGAAATTGTACTAGCGGGTGAGAACAAACCCATCGATTTTACCAATGATAACGGTAAGTTCATCGATCGAAACACACCATCACCGTCATCATTGTCATCGTCATCTCCGTTACCACTAAGGATATCAAACCAGTGGGATCAGTTATCATTACAAGTTAACTGGTATTTAAATAACCATCCGTTGGACATTGAACGGATTCAGAAGTTGAAAATAAAAAGTGATTTTGACAATGGTTTAGCCACTTTATCCATCGAAAATATATCTTCTGAACATGAGGGTGATTATTGTTGTGAAGTGAAAAGTTCACAAGATACCATTCGAACGTGTGGAAGACTCGTATTGAAGAGTAAGTATGATTTGTATTCATTCCGAAAAAATATTCATTGAACGAGTGGTGCACTTTTCAAACAGTATTCTTTGACCCAACTCTTATTTCGGTATACGTTTTTCTAAGGATATTGTTGTGGTTGATGTAGATGGTATCCTAATACTAACATTTTCGAGTAGTATTTTAAAAAATTATAACATATTTTCCCGTGACATATTTTGTATCTAGCAGTTAAATTAGGTACGACTACCTTTTGTTCAGATAACTCTGTCTTCAAGGAAAGCTGTTTACAGATTATAAGTTTTTGAAGATCGCAGTTTAAGTGTAAACTTTATTTCTGCTCTGATTGGACTGAACATGAACTTAACTTGTTCGTACAATTTGAGTGATTTCCTATCAGAAGACATTTAAAGAAACAGTTTAGTAGCATCATAAAACAGACTTTGTATTGTCCTTATAGTCATTATTTTCTAATTATAGAAATACTCAATTGATGCCCTTGTGTTAATCTTCCAGACATAATTACCTTGTTATTCTAGAAAGTAATTTTTGATGATATTTTGTTAACATACTTACTATTGGTAGATATTCTTCCTCAGTGTAGCTGTAATTATGAATGTACAGCTTCTGAGAAGGATTTGTCTGAAAAAAATTTCTTTTCTACATTATTTTCTGTCAGTTTTTAAACTATACGTTTTAGCGATTGTAAAATTTCAAACAATTAAAGGTTCCCATAAGATTGATAAAAAGTGACAATCTGAACAAACAATATATATCTTGAATAAATTCTCATCAGATTCTACGCTTACAAAATGCATTTATACAGCGTAAAATGAAGCTAACTTAGGGCCATATGCATTTTCAAAATGGAGTGAAATTAAAAGACTGTAAAAAAATCGAATTTATTTTTTAAAATTTGTCAATATTGGGATGATACATATACGGGTGAGTGACATGATAGTGAACAGAAAGATCGAGTATAAAGAAGGTAGATGAAGCCTTTAGTTAACTGATGACCAGGGGAGGAGTAACGCTTGGGCATGTTTTTTCCTGAATAGACAATTAAGGTGTGATCAATCTCATTGCAACAACTTCAGCCATGTTGACCAGACGTTGGCGAGCTACATTTGGAATACTATGAATGACACTCAAAGCTTTTTAAGTATCTGTGCGATGTCATGTGTCTACTAGGTGCGCTAGAAGTGAACATTTGGCCACTTTCACTTCACCCTTTCCGAACCTTGCTGGTAAATGCTCTCATATCCGAAGACACACCTTGCTAACTGAACGCTCTATGTAAATAGTTCCGCAGGAACAGTTAAATTAATATTTATAGGATAAAAAGCTGAGATTAGGTAGGGTATCTTTTAGTCTCGGATTAACATACACATCTGACCCGCATAAAGCGCCCTATTAACTGCTCTATCTAGGCAGTTTGGTAGGATGTCACTTACAGCCATCTCCCTTGGATTTTAGTCGCAGAAACTAAGGCTTCTTCTCAACTGTTATCAGTTCTCGTTTAAAAACAATCTAGTTAATGTTAGCTTTGATGAACATATCCAGACATAAATTTTCACTAAGAATATTAAGGATACACAATAGTGTGTGTGTAGTGTGTACTCCTTGAAACAAGTCAGTCTTACTCTAAATGTACTCAATCGATACGAAGCCGAGGTTTGCATACTGTCCCTTAGAAGTCAATTTTCCATATATACTTCTCAGCATAGAGCCATTTTCTTTTCTTGTCATTAGCTGATCAAGAAAATGTGTCGAATCATCGGTGTTATTTTAATGTGTAAAATGAACTGATGGATCAACGCTGTTAAAATGGTTCAGAATATAATAAATACATATTCACATATCAAAGGCTAAAACTGTATCATCCATGTATCAGCAGTAAAACTCTATATCGGCAGTTACATCTTTCAAAGGACCATTTTCCAATTCCGCCAAAAGTATATCTGGAAGTATTGAACCCATTGGAGATGCTATAGCCACTCCATCAGTTTATCTGTACAGATTACTGTCGTACTAGGCAGTTAATGTTCGATAAGCTATAGGGCTACAAGAATCTTCACTGCCCCACAGTAGTATTATACATAATCTGATTGTGTATCTGATCGTCAGTGTAAATCCTACCTTTTAGTTGCAGTTATCATTCTCAATATTAGTCATTTCTATCTCATGTACCAATTAGAAGCGACACTTATTCAGTTGTGGTCAACCGAAGTTGTTTACCCCTTGATTTGGAGGACTTCATAATTATTCTGAATCGGATTCCTCTGACTAGTATGCACGCTGCTGAAGGTTGGTTGATATGAAGCAGATAAACAAACGTGAAATGCTTCGAGGAGTATCAAGTTTAAATAAGCCAATATATGAAAATACCTAACTTGGTTATTCAAAAGTTAGAGTTTCCACGGTAGTTTGGTGTTCTCTGAGCTTTGATATTTTGTCTTGGATGTTTCATCACCAGGTTTGATGATATCCTTAGCACTGACTTCAAGGGGTGACTTTTTTATAAAGGTAGTGCTGAGGATGTCACCAAGCCTGATAATAAAACGTTCACGAAAGAATATCAAAGCTCACAGAGCACCAAACCCCTACAGTTCTCATCTTGGGCTACAAATACTTACCATCATTCGCGCCTTCGTTATTTTTATTTTGAGTAAACCTACAAACAAACTTCATGGCTAGAAGTTTAAGATCTTCAGAACAAGTACATCTAATTTGATGGTAATGATAGAGACCACTAATTGAGTTCAGGACGGACGTTTCCTCGTCTTTGAGACTTATCAGCTTGGATGTATAAGCAATAACATCACAGCCAATTTGATGTCTTCTCCAGCTAAAAACACTTTATTTGATTATTGATGGTTATATTTGGAGATTTGTCTTCTCTAACGGTGTTCATTCTTAAAACGCGCAAATTCAGCCGCAGGAAAGAATATGAAGCGTAATTCTTGTATTCGTTAATAAAGAGCTTTCGAGACTTTCCTATTTATGGTTTTAAGATGATATTGAACCCATTAATTCCATGAGAAGTTTGTTCAGTGAAATGCCTGATGTTGTTGAAAGTTATGGATAATACGTGTAAATATAGGCTCGTTGACGAGTAAAAGCAGGCTGGAAACACACATCTAAAGCTTCACTGTGATCTCCTGAAACTGTCAAACACTGAAACGTTCACCAACGGGTTCTGATTAGCAATACAAACTAGAGTATTTTGATGGTTGCTTTCACGTACTCACTTTGTGTTTAGATATTTTAAAATCATGTAGCAGATTTGCATTATGTATCTTTTATTTTCATTTCTTTGGTGTGAAAATTATCAAAACTGAATTATTATCAGAATCTGCACCTTCGTTACCAGTAATTAGTGTGCCTAGGATCGTTGGAGGAATAACAAAGTCTCCAAGCGAGATCTCAGTTGGTCAGTCTTTCACATTAACTGCTGATTATATCTCGGACTCTATTCCTGAAGTCAAATGGTTCAAAAATGATGGAGAGCTCAACATTAATAGCTCTCATTTTAAGGTGAGTTTCCCACTGCGTTATGTGGCCATTAAATGTTGTCCAGCCGAACTCAACAACTAGGGACAGATTATTTCATTAATTGTTAAGCCGCACTTCTTGAGTCAAGTCAGTGGTCTTACGCTGTCAAGCGAAGCAGTTTTTGAATTTGCAACTGAAAAGCTGGAGGAAAAGCAACAGAAGACTTGACACTACAATGCAACGATTTAAGTTACCATATCTCATATCAGCACATCAAGACAGAATGTACCAAGATGAAAGATGGGGAAATAAAGAAAAAAGCAGTTAAAAGTGGTAGAAAGTCCTACAGTGAGAACAAGAGGGAATGAAACAATGACAGAGTTCGATATGACCATTAAGATAATGTTTGAATACATCTTTGTTATCTAGGACAGTTATGAGCAATAGCACAGAGTCTGAAACCACAGATTTCTTTTATCCTACGGCCCTCAACTTGGAAGTCTGGATTTCTTTATATGGCTCACACCAACAGTCATGGACTGAAGCTAAATTTTAGTTTGGCTCCTTCTAACGTTTTTCTTGCTTTCGTTTGCTTCGACCAACATTGTATGACAAGATAGACGATGGCTAAGCATGTGATTTATGTCCCAGTCAACCATCTGAGCGGACTGGGGCTCGCAGTCTGACTAATCGACTTTCCTCTTCGGTTCAAAAATCTACTTCTGACCTATATGTTACTGGTGTGGTGACACCGCGACACAGCCTATTCTACGAAGGCATCTGGGACCGAACACATGACTTCTTCTAATGTTCTCTGCGTTTGATGGGTTTGTTTTACAGTCATGTGGTACGTAAGAATAAACAAAGCGCAGTTGGATATCACGGCGGTGTCACAGATGGCGTAAGTTCGCGAGAGTCAGTCTAGCCTTTTTTTATCCGTGCCAAGATTTAGTGTCACTGATCCGGTCCAAATACCTAGATAACTGCAGCGGTCAACGCATTCAACCATTTCACTCTCTAACGTTAGATAAGGTACCGGTTGTGACCAGTCTTGAAGTGACATTTTGAATTTTAGTGATGAGAAACGCAAACCAAAACTTTTCAGGTTGCTACCCAAAGTGTCCAGAAAACAGCATCTTCACCTTACAGGATTACGTCATCTGCCTACTGTAGGTCTATCTGGGGGTCTCTTCTGACGATATCAATCCGTGTAAAGTCAGATGACGAGATCGAATAGAAATGGGGAAACTAAATATCCTTGACAGACACTAATCAAGGAACCCAGCTCACATGGTAGGAAAGATTTTTAGCTCAGGATTAGAATTATAGTGTGAAGTAAATGATAATAAAGTTACCTAACCTGATGATAGAACATCCAAGTACAAACCTGGAAGCTTGGCGAACATTAATTAGTTATCATAACTCACCTAATTACTTACCATAGGTTCTGACACGCCAATGAAAGACTACCGTGAAACCTCTAGGTCAACTAAGTTTAATCCCATCTTCGGGTCAAGAAATACACCTCGTGTCGAGTGCTGGTATGTGTTATGTTCAGGAACCTGGTGGAGAGTAAATATCTGGTTGATGCACCCATGACCAGGTCTAAGACCGGACTGATTTTCTCAGGTTTGTTGTTTTTGAGCCCCATTTAGACATCTTACAATTATAGAACATAAAATGTAGGACAGTATGTTCATCAGACTAATTCCCGTATGGTTTTCACAGGAGGATTTCTCTTGTTTCTTGAAGGCTGAGTGAGTCAATGATTAAAACCGGTCATAATGGATCATGATTGATTTCTGTACGCTAGCTAACACTGGATAATGCAACCAATAATCGTTGACCACCTTACTAAAGGGCCTCTGATGCAAGGCAATCTGACTCTGCTTCATTTCTGTGTCACAAGTCACTTAATACATTCTCAACTAAGGCAATAGTTATAGGTCTTATTTTTATGTTACATTCAATACTTGACAACAATGCAGTACCTCTAGGGCATTCGAAAAATTCGTGGAAGTGATTACTGGGTCAGGACCCAGTGGTCAATATTTCTCGACTGGGTCATGGGTGGTTACTACTGAGGAGTCCCATACTAGGAAGAAACAGCTGTCCAGTACTCCTAGGTTTCCAATGTTTCTCCATCTGATGTCAGTTAGTGATGAAAAGCAACCTTAAATTAATAAGTTTCTACGAGCTTCAAATTGATTTAGGTTGAAGTTAACACTCCGAAACTGATCTCAGTGAACTTGATGTCAAAGCGTCCTTCATAGGTTAGCATTGTTTTGAGCTACTTACTAATAAAACTCATGGGATCGAACTACATTATATTTCCAAAGTGGGATGAAGTGGCTTTACAGTATTCCATGGTAAGCAGGTTATTGAGGATATTACGAAAATGATCCGTAGACTTTAGTCAACTATTACTAAATCTTCCAGTAATTACGTGCATGTTCATGCACTAGGCAATGAGCCATACCTATTGTATAAGGGCCCATGATACTACCTGGCGATCAAGTCACAGTAGTTGAAACGGGTTTGTAACTCGTGATCGATTGACTGAAAGTCAGTTACCTAAACCAATAATTCACCGCTCTAGCCTTTAGAAAAAGGGGGGCAAATTAGTAGATGTAGATCGACTGGTTTCTTCACACCAAAATCATATGAATAATGAGGAAATGTGTTGCAAGATAGCCTTTAATTTGGCATTTAAAATACCTAAACTATTTGGTATCTTCTTGCTTTATTCACACATCCACCCACGGTTTCTCAATATTCAACTAAATTTATACTTGAATTCGTTTTATGCAGATTATTTTCTCCTTAAATAAATATAGTGTGCAAAAATGCGTAGTTGGTTATCGCCTATATTTTGTTTATTTAGAAGTTTTGTACTGTTACTGTACTGTACTTCGCAACGTAGATGAAGAAAAATTAATGCACGGTTAACTAAATACTTTTGATTGCTCATAGATATGTATATATATTTATATATATACGCAGGCTAAAGCAGGTTTTGGGGATTTTCATAAGCGAGCGCACAGTCGTTGCTAAAATATTCAAGTCATTGCATCACAGACGAGTTCACTGTAATAGTACGCATAATACGTTTACGCGGAAGAAACATCCAGCTCTGAAAATTTATGGCAGTTGATCACAATCAAGGAAATAGTGAAGCAGCAGATTAAGAGATGTTAACGTTTTCAACTCTCTACTTCAACTTCATCGATTTTGAAAAGGCGTTCAACAGCATCGATCGAGAAGTAATTTGCAACTGCTTCAACACTACGGTTTCAGTGCCACAAACGTTTATCAACCTCATTCAACAACTGTATGAAGACGCCACATGCCAAGTGATTCACAATGGGAAGCTCAGTGACGCCTTTGAAGTGAAGACAGGAAGGAGTAGTACAAGTTTGCTGCCTACTATCGCTGATGATCTTCCTGATTGTGGTCGACTGGATCATGCAGCAAACCGTGAGGGGCGAGAAGTGGGTCATACGCTATCTGACTGATGAAAAGAGTCTAGAAGATTTGGGCTCCGCTGATGATGATGCTGATGATTTATGTCTAATGTGCTGTTGCACAAAGTCGAAGATGTAGAGGCAAAAACGAAGAAGTTGACAGAAGAGGTAGGGAAGCGAATATGGGACCTGAAGTGAATGTAGAGAATACAGAGGTGATGAAGATACTATGTCAACAACAAGAACAACAAGCACCGATCAGCATGAAGGGGATAAACCTAGAGGAAGTAGTCTCTTTCACCTACCTACCTACCTACCTACCTACCTACCTACCTACCTACCTACCTACCTACCTACCTACCTACCTACCTACCTACCTACCTACCTACCTACCTACCTACCTACCTACCTACCTACCTACCTACCTACCTACCTACCTACCTACCTACCTACCTACCTACCTACCTACCTACCTACCTACCTACCTACCTACCTACCTACCTACCTACCTACCTACCTACCTACCTACCTACCTACCTACCTACCTACCTACCTACCTACCTACCTACCTACCTACCTACCTACCTACCTACCTACCTACCTACCTACCTACCTACCTACCTACCTACCTACCTACCTACCTACCTACCTACCTACCTACCTACCTACCTACCTACCTACCTACCTACCTACCTACCTACCTACCTAGCCAGCATCGTTTAAATCACAGGTGGCATAGATGAGGATGTCAAAGCCAGGATCGGGAGAGCGAGACAGGCCTTCATTAGTCTGGACCCATTGTGTAGGTCTACTGCACTTAGTATAAAGCGTGAAGGAGATCCGGATTTTTAACACTAAGTCGGTGAAGTCAGTGCTTCTATGTGATGGTTGAGAAACTTGGAGCATTACGGAAAGCGCTTCCAACAAACCACAGACATTCATGAACAGTCGCCGCCTACGCTGGCTTGATACTGAAGATCAGATGGCCAGATTAATAGATAAGAGTGAGCAACGTGGAACTGTGGCCGTCAACAAACCATCCATGAATTCATCACGCGAGAAATGTGCATAAGAAAGTGGAGATGGATTGGATTAGGCATGTACTGAGGAGACCGATTGGGATCATAGGGGCCAGGCGGTGAAGTAGAACGCTGAGGGGAAACGACAAGTTGGGCGTCTGAGGCGTGGGTGACATGGAGATTACATGGGGAAGAAATGCAAGCTTGTGGGCAGTGGTGGAGGCAGTTTGAAAAGAATGAAGACTTTTCTTATCTAGTTTGACTAACTGGTTGTAATCTTGATTACATTTAAAATTTCACTTTCCTATCGCTTTCACTTAAGTCATCATTCTTACTTCTCACAATGCTTATTTTCACAATTATTTTCGTTTAAATTCCTGGTATGCAGACGTTCTATTTGTATGTATAGATCACAGATTTCATGGGTAGCTACTATGTCTAAACCTGTCCACCTTTATCGTTCTCTCACCTCACTATATTGTGGTTGTCATATGCTGTTAGTATGCCTGGTGGCTTGGTATGCGAAATACATTCTTCATCGACCTCAGCTGATATATGTTCAAAACCTTGTCAGTAGATTTAGTGCTTCATCTGATACTCTACAAACGTTCTCCATCATAATACTCTACACTTAACCTTTACACTGTTCACATGATGACTAAATAAAGTTTTGTCAATACTACAAAGGTAAAGTAGTTAGTAAGCTTGTGAATTTGAACATCTCTTCGGCAATAAAAGTAATGTTAGCTAGATGACGCCTAACGGTCTTCTTTTTACCCTTTCTACCTTATTTTATTTGACGGGACTTTTATACTAAATAAAGTAGTCAGCATTTTCTGCTGAATTGCTTCCTGTTTCTAATCACCAAATCGATGCAAATGAAAAGTAAAGCAACAGTTTCTGTTTTACTGCTGAGAAATACGTTTAAAACAGTCACTTTGTTATTAATGGTGTCGCCAGATCTTAAGTGTTATCAACATTGTGCTGGTGAAGGACTATAATATCTATGTGCGAGAACCAACTGATGAATCGCCCATGACGAGATCCATTTTTGCAGAGTCAGAGAAAGAGATAGAACTCAATTAGTATTAGGTCAAAAACATACAGAGAGTGAATATCTTTTATGTCTGCAATCTTGCGCACGCACATACCTGAGAACTCATTGTATGCAGTTGCTTTGATGTTGATTTTAACAGTAAGGTGACGTATTTTTCGGGCGCATAAACCTCTGTAAGAACAACCTGTCGACGAAATCAAACACCTTCTCTCGATAAAAGATGGCTGTCTTCTAGGATACAGTGGAGGTCAATGATCAGAAAGATGAACCAATGGTGTAATTTTGAGCTTTCTGGGTTTTTCTCACCTCTGCTGCACCAGAACCTCAGTTATGCGTTGCATTGGTACCAAGTCTAAAGTCTCAGAATACATACTGAAAATGTTTATTTGTTTCTGTTTATCATCAGAGAATGTTTTTTCTTCGTATGGATATAGTCTGTATATCTAAAAAAAGATATCGAAGTCTTGATTTGATGACTAGTGACCAAATCGAATGACTGTGAAACCTAATAACAATTCAGTATAGGCTGGTGAATAATTATGCAAAGCCAGGAAAACATTGAACTGATATCAGAGAAGCATAACTGCTTTTAGGTTCTTTTGTTCATATGTTCAGCTGAACTTACGGTAGTAGCGATGCTTTTACCAGTGGTATGTTGGATACTCTCGGTCATTTAGTTTTTCACTATAACTTCATACTCAGTTGCAAAAACATTTGGTATTTTCGTAATAAAGTGAACGTTACTTACACGTGTAGCTGTACCTCATCTGTCTAGGCACTCCTTTTCTAATCTGTCGGTCCTGAGTTCAAACTTCCAACCATCTACTTGATAGTATGACTTACTCGTACATAATAGGTGTGGCACATTCTTTACTCCACAAATGTGCAGTTGGTTGCTGAGTACATTTCGGTTCGAATTGACTCAGCACATGCAATTATGTTTTCCTTCGCAATCCAGGCTAATAATACAAAGTAATATGAGAGAACTTTTGGGTTTCATTTTTTTAGAAAAAAAACTGTAATTCCGAAAGACAGGAAGTTCATCCCAGAGTATTCCCTGTTTTCAGCGTTCACTTACTTTAGAAAAAGGATTGAAGTAGCTAAGTGAAGACAATTTTTGAACCAGAAAAGATTTACTGTGTTACTATTGCACTGAGAAGTAGATATCTTTGCAAAATTTTCAAAGACTCCTGACCAGTAAATCAACAATAACCCTAAAGTTGACACACAAACAAATGAGAGGATGGTTCTAATGCATAAAATGTATTTCAATCATTTGGACTGTTTGATAGCTACTGAGGAGTAAACGTTGTCCTTAAGGCAACAAAATCACTGAAAACAACGTTATGTAAACGAGAGGGCTCTAGATCAAAGCAGAATATTATCAACGTCATCTTAAAAATGAGTTGTATTGATTACGAATACGATAAAATTTGGTGAAGTGGTCATCAAGTTTAACAATAGTAGTGTGATAATCGTCGAGGAGTAGAACGTTAAGATGAATGACTAATTGATCAATGAATATAGATAATCTGGAATATTTTTTTGATGAGGAAGACCAGAAATTATTGCATGAAAGTCTCGAATTCCCTAGAGAATGCTTAGAAACCCTGGCATTTAGGTCAACAGACGCTTAGTAGGTATGCTAACATAGTTCCAGTCTGCGTAGAAATAAAGAAACTAAATTACGAACAAGATAATTACAAGCAGGACACTAAATGTTTTTCTTTAAAAAGAATCAATGACTCATAAATAAAACAAGTTATTATCAAGTTTAACCAATCCTTTCGAAGTTTGTTAGGACATGAAGTCAGGTGACTGGCTTGAAATTCTTCAGTTCCAGTTCCTGAATAAATTATTTACCCTTCATTTCTCTGCTGGACTGCAAATGAAACATTGGGCATTAGACTATCTTGATGCTAAAACACTACATCAACATAATTTCTATGCTTTATCTTGTTCACTTTGTTGAATCCCCTAGAGATAAGTTTCTAATAAATACTTCTCTTTAGAACTCAACAATATATGAGTGCTGGAATATTGAGATTTCTAGCATCAAAAGAAAAAGTCTAATTGTGGGATATTCTTGGGGACTTTAGTTGACTTGGTTTGTATTATGTGTACTGTAATCGTATAACGATTGAGATCAATAAAAAATCTGGTTTGCTGCTGGATATAGACCATCAGCTTTTGGTTTACCTACAGGCTGTGGAACTTAAGTGCCTGAAGATGCAGCTGAAGATGTTATCCTGTATTGAGAATATATATGAAGTTAGGTAGTAGAGACATATGTCCTACTTGTTGGTATTCATTAGTAATAGATATTTTCAACATCAAGTGGACTGGTTTTCTCTAGTGGTTTATCATGATTTCGTCACAGTATGTATCAGATACGTCCAGATAACGACTCCCCATCGTTTATAGGACTCATTAGCCATTGAGTGTTATTCTCACTAATACTATAGCTTAGGACTAATCGATGCAATCTCCAGGGCGTTGCCTAATAGGCTACTGAGTCAGCACAGCCCCTCCTCATGCAACAGGCATAGTGTAGTTTTGATGTTATTACTTGTGACTATCGTGACTCAGTGGCCTAGTGGATAGAGACTTCGCATTTGGGGTGAGTTTAATTAAGAACTATACTAACTGGGAGGAAGTACATATAGCTGATGAGTCCTGAATAGGACGGAGTATGGGTTCTGGATTCCACTGCTAGCCATTATCCATCAATGATATCAGGATTGAAAATACAGGCAATATCGAAGAATACATACAGGAGTCCATATGTCGATAGTGGCCGATTACTTTGGTTCAATCAAAAGGTATCAAAGTATTTATTTTTATATTGTATTGATTTTCAATACATTTGTTGACTTATCTGTGAAAATAATTAGTAACTCAAGAGGATGGTCCTAATCTCACTATGTTCTCTTAACTACCTAATTCAACAAAGATGTTTCTTTATAATTTACCAAAACTATACGTCTCAATAGTATATTCACAAAAGGCATTGAGACGAATCTATTTTGTCCTTAGCTTTGTTAAGTTGTAAAATGCAACATTCACACTATTTATTCTATACATCATTGATAAACTTTATTTTTCTGAGTATCACATAAACCACTTGAATAGGGTTAACTTTCTGAACAAAAAGTTATTCATTTACAAGTCTTCACTATGTATGAATCAAAAACCACGCAGCTACCATATATCCACCATTCATTGCATGGATAGGATTTTATTGTTTTAAATAAGGTCTCCGTCAGAAACGGATGACATTGAAGCAATTAGTCTTGGACTACGGAGCAAAAACCATTTGATTTGATATATTTTCTGAGTTCCATCATTTCACTATATCCCATTACAGTCTTTCATCTATTCCTGGTGTTAAATTTCTTCTAGATAGGCTAATAAATTGGGAGCAGTCTCACTATTGTGTAAATATTGACATTTATAGCTTAGATTGTTAGAGCTTTAGCTGCTAGTCTCCTTCTTTTCTTGATGTCTTCGACGTTGTATATCAGTATTTACATGTTTAGGTGTTTTTTAACCTGAGAAAAATTGTTTATCTTTATTATATCTTGTATTTTAGATACAGACTGAAAAGAATAAATGTATTTTAATCATTTCCAACGCTTGTACAGACGATACAGGCTTTTATACAGTGAAATTGACCAATTCAGCTGGTACAAACCAGGAGAAAACATTCATTGAGGTCAAGAGTAGAGAGGTTTTGGAGGAAACAGGATGGTTAGTAAAAAATTTCATTTGATTGATATTTCATTATCAGCAGTTTCTATGTGATTATTTTTTACCGATTCATTCTAAAGCTTCAAAATAGCTTTTCTCTTTCAGATGCTCTTATCATGTTATCAGTTTTCTAGTTTCAGCTTCAAAGAGAAGATGAGAATTCACTCCAAAGATCTCACTGTAGGAAATCCAATTGCAGCGGGCAGTTTAATTATTTTCAAAGATGTGTCTTCCTAAGGAGAGATACAGATAAGAATCTTATCAATTTATTTTCCTGAGGAATGCGAAGAATATGCTCGAAAGATATCACCCACGATGAACTAGAAAACTTGCGGGAAGTCCTGGTGAAAAATGAATACTCACTGGACTTTATAGTTAGGAATCTGAAGTCGATAAGTGCCACGGAAAGCATTTATGCTGCTCCGATAAAGGTTTTACTGTTGAGCCTCGGATTCAAGGAAGATAATGTTGCAAATATCTCTAGAAAGAGTTTATCAAGGTCCATAAATAGGATGTTCTTTTCCAGCATTCTTAGAGTCATATTATCCTGTCTGAAACTAATTCTTCAGTACGCAAAGGATAAGCTGGAACATTGAGCCACATCATTATGTGCATGTCTACTTGCTCCTGTGGAGCCGAGTACATCGGCCGTAGTATGCAGCAGCTTATGCAACGCGCTCATGAACACTACTTACCCTGGCTAATAACAGGAGAACGGAAATGCATCTTCAACTCCGTGACAACACACTTAGTAAACTCAGGACATTTGGCTCCTTTTGATAAGTCCTTCGAAATATTTCACCAAAGGCAACCAAACAACTCAAAAATAGTGAGGTTAATACATCTAAGCATAGTTGAATCATCAACGATTCAAAAGTTCAAACCACCATTATGCGTTTCAACGAAGTATATGCAACCTCTTTCTTTGCCATAGACATCGTAGACGATCGATCACTCTAGATAACTCCCTTATGAAGTAACTATTTTTTATTTCGCAATCATTTTGTTTACTTCCACATTTTAAACGGCCATAAGAACTACACAACTTTCTTGTCAAACAACTTGATCTTTAACAGGAAATCGCTCTGGATAATTTTATGCTTTCTACTATATATTTACGAGTGTAAAGTTTCGAGAATGATTTTGTAGAAAAAAAACATTTTTCTTCCTCTCAATCGACTTCTGTCTTTTCCTATAATAAAAAATAATCAGTTATTCAATATTCATTTGGTTTCAATAATTCCTAAATGCTCACGGAAATATATGTGCCATCTGGTAGAGAAGTGATTGTTTATTGAGAGTAATAAGGACTAGGTTAATAATAAAAAATAAAATAAATAAAATTAATAATAATCGCTTTATTTCGGACAACATGTGGGATACAGTGCGGAATTCTCGGAATTTAATATTTCAAGAAACTCATTCCCTGTACATATTTCTAAACGTAGTAATTATTGTACATTTGGTTCCTATCTGGACTGATGAGTGGATAGAAAATAGAGTGAAATTTTGATGGTGGTTGTTTATTCAGCCGGCACAAAACTCTGCAATTCCTAATAAGTATCCCAGGCATAGGGATATGCTGGAAATTTTATGTAGCCCAGTGTTTAATCAGGCCGCCTTTTGATATTTCAAAATTAGAAAATGAATTCATACTAGGATTCAGTAGCGTATATGTAATGTGGGAAATGGAATTAACGATGAAAAGGTGTCAGAGTGGCTTTTTAAGTAACTTCAAATATAATCTTGACGCTTCTTGTCAGTAAAGACTACAAATGCTGAGTATTTGAGCTAAATTCTTAACCTTAAACTTTTTTGAACTCGAAAGTGGAACAAGTAGAAGGTGAAAATACAACTGAATTGCTTATTTATACAATACAATGTTATGCTCCAAAGTGATCTTAGTTCACCAAGAGTATTCACGAAGATCGTTTTTGCTTGTAGTAATCAAATTGGTTACGAAATATACTTTCAAAGGGTTCAAAATTCATCTTCATTCTTCAAAAGATGCTAATTGTCTGTGAATTTTACGCACACTGTTATTATTTTTCTTCAAGATTCTGAAGGGTATAAAGTTTGAACTTCATGACAAATCTTGTGGTTGTTAAATTTGTTCACAGTGAGATATTTCCAGTATTTTAGTTGGATGCAGGCAATCGACAGGATGCACTGGACCAAGGTTTCGTGCTTTTTGGCACTCGTCAGTAAGGTGTATTTCGATGGATCTAATGTCTCATCTGAGATTCAAATCCGTGCCACTCAGTGTTACAAACGTAGGCATTACCATTGAACCATTCAGGCCATGTTTGACCTCCTGTAGGTTCATTGCTTGGTCGCTGGTGGGTAATCAACTTCATGCAGTCTAGTCACAAATGCTGATCGAATCCTATCGATCATTTTTCAACATTTTCTATAATTTTTAAAATTGTTATGTGTAGTATAACTCATTTCTTTCTCAAATTTCTTTTAGTAATAAAGAAATTAGTTCAACCCCTAGTGGTTATCTACCTGACAAATCTGTAGTACCTGAACAATTATGCGTCACTCAGTCATCTGAAAAAATTTCAAAATCAAAAACCATAATTTATGGTCCGTTAGATGTGAGAGTGAATAATGGTGATACTTTGCGACTATTTTGTATTTTACGCCAAACACAAGAACCATACTTTGTTCATTGGACGCATAATGGACAAGTGTTGAAAAATTCGTCATTATCCAACCAGACATTTGGTGTACAAACCTGGGCAAATTATCCTAAAAATGGATTTTATATGTTAGAGTTAAAATCTGTTAATTTACAAGATAAGGGATTTTATGGAGTCATAGTATCCAGAGTATTGAATATATCCGGGAAAATAGTTAATGAAACACAAGAAGAGGCTGTTTGTTGGGTCGAAGTTGATGGTGAGACATTTTTTGTTCCATAAGGTGTAACTCACTGCAAATAAATGTATTTTAAATCTGTATGTACTAAAACTTTAAAAATCTTTAAAATATTTTCAGGTTGATTTTCACCGATGGAGCACTGCGAAATCCTCCATGACAAATACTTATAGTTTTCATGAATAAAAACAAGACATGAATCGGCGAGAAAAATATTTCTTTTCAACGACATGTGCTGTCAAATGTTTGTAAAACGGTGATAATTTAGCTGAAACATGTAAAATAGGTCAGTGAATAAGGAATGAATTGATATTAAAACGTGAAATATGGGTCAAATGTTGTAAATGTTGATGACAGTGATGATAATAAAAGAGAAGTATGCCAATGTGAACTGAAATTGACGAAATCAACAAAATGAATTGTTAAGGCGAAGGTAGAGAAAGTGGTTTCACAAGACGTTTTTCAATGCAAAGTTTCAGTTTTTGTTCAAGCATATCTAATCCTTCAGCTATGCGTAAGTGGTGGAAAAGCAAACCTTTAAAGTCGTTCAATTTAACTGTGTTCCAGAATCTATAGAATGTGTTCAGAAGATACGGTGGATGCTGAGATCGAAACTCTTAGAATAATACTATCTAATAACGGATATCCTAAAAGATTTATTGATAAGAATCTTAAGAAACAAACCACACCCCATCCCATTACAGTCTCTAAGAAAATTTTAATCATGAATCTAGAATTCAAAGGAGACGTGACAGCCGAAGGGCTGAAAAATCATTTGTCAAGATGTATCGATAGTATCTTTTATGCTGCTAGACTGAGACTGATATTCTCCGACCGCCAACTGATTCGTCAGTGCGTGAAAAGTAGGCTTCCGCTTATGCCCACATCTCTGTGTATCAACAAGTTCATATGCTCCTGTAGAGCTGACTATATTGGAGGTTGTAAGCGAGCCCTCCAATAAGGTGTTGCTGAACATTACCCAGTCTGGCTTACCTAAGGCGAGCGAAGGAAAACAACTTCGTCCATATGTGAACACTTTGTTGAATTAGGTCATTCAGCATCTCGAGATTTATCGTTTAAAATAATTTACAAAGTTAAAGTGAACTACTCCAAAGATTTAGGTTCCCTCCACTTTCTCTACCTTCGCCTTAACAATTCATTTTGTTGATTTCGTCAATTTCAGTTCACATTGGCATACTTCTCTTTTATTATCATCACTGTCATCAACATTTACAACATTTGACCCATATTTCACGTTTTAATATCAATTCATTCCTTATTCATTGACCTATTTTACATGTTTCAGCTAAATTATCACCGTTTTACGATTCTTTGACAATAAGTGTCTCTTGTCTCACCACTTGTTATCAATCCGTTCCTTATTCAGTAACCCATTTCCTATCTCTTCCACTTGAACAAATACCACTACCTACACCTGTTATATATATTTAACATATTGACTGAGCAACGTTTTAGTGCAATTATCTGTTACTTTACCGAGTATAAATACGACTGTACAGCTTGATGATGAAGTAGTTGGAAAAAAATACTACTTCACTGATATACGTTTTATACTTGTAGTTTTGAATTTTACTGTCCATCATACAGTGAACCCTGACCTTGGCGAGATATTTGAAAAGTGTTAAATAACCAGTAACCTGATGAAAGATCGTAGCATACATATGGTTACTAAAGTTCAAGTAAGATATCATTTCATCTTATCTGCTGAGATTTTAAGAGTAGATAGGACTTGGAAAACATGCAAATCATTCTTATTACTTATCTGAGGCTAAGAATGACCAGTATGGGGGACGTTTACATCCAGACAGGGATTTTTAAATTTGATATCCTTTTTGGCTGTAAGTACCTCCTTTTATGCGAGGTTTATCTCCTTTCTTGATTTAATGGACTCTCAGATTGTGTCGTAAAGCCATGTATCAAAACGTTTAGTATGGTTGATGTTTCTTCTGTTTTCATCTATTTGTTTGAATGGGTACACATGCCTTTCCAATGACTTGTTGAGCATCGTATTTAATACAATGCTTTATACTGCCTAGATCTGAGGTTTGTCTTATGTGATGACTTCATGATAAGTATGAGATATTTATCTGCAGAGTACAATTATGTTGTTTACTCTTTTAGCACTAATTGAGAAGAAAACCAACCCCTTTTTACTCATTATGAATAGTATATTCTTTTGCTTGAGTGCAATGTAGATTGGTTCTATCACTACCATATGACTTCATTAAGTTAGAAATGCGGCTTTTAAAGACAGTTGGTTAGTGAAGGAAAATAAATACAAAATGTGGTAGAACAATTATTTCAGAAGTTATGAAGTTAGAAGTGTCAGTCAGGCAAGGCTAACAATATAACCCATTGAGAAAGCTTGAAAAACGTGATAACATGCATTTGAAGTAAAGAGCAGATTAGTCAATGTTGTTCAAGAATATCGTTGTACATTCCATCTATGATGTCTTACGTGAATTTCAGACAGCCCTCAGAATCGCTCTCGGGTTTTAGTGTCATTTGTTCGAACCCCTGTAGTTGAGGTTAAGGTTATACCACCTTTATTACATTTTCATATCTTGACTGCAGTTAGGTGATATTGTGGTTACAGAGACTAAATTATCACTCAATGCTTCATCAAGGTTCCAAATTGGTTACATAATATGGTATTCTGTGTTTCTAAGACGTCTGAAAACTCAGTGTAGTAATTTTTCAATTATCTATTGTTTGTGTACAAAATCTTTACAGGCAATAGATCTATAGAGAAGAAGGCAGCTCCATCAGTCATGAATGATGGCTTTCCTTCAATGATTGAAGTTACAGAAGGTCAGATGATTCATCTAGAATGTAAAGTGGTTGGGAATCCCTTACCTTCATATTTTTGGCTTAAAGATGGTGATATGATAACGACATCCAATGATTTAAACTTTCAGGTATGTCCTCGTACTAGCAGTGGTTTGATGTTCTTGGAGCTTAGATATTTCTTCAGATTTCGAAGTACACTATAAGGCCATCATACCCATTCTGAGCTATAAATCTTTTCCATCATTTTATATCTTATTACTGATTTATTTATACATATGATTGCATGTTACCCATGTTTGCAAAATAATGTTGTAATGTGTTTAGTTATTTCACTCATACTTGACTGTATCGTAAAGAAGATGGTTTGCTAAAGGTTTTGACCAAACTAAAATCATTTAACTTTTCTGTTGACAAGTGAAAACGAAAATATGCATCAAGCGAAAACGTAACTGATTCTAAATAGGAGCTAATTACTATATTCTTGATATACACTGAAGGACTGTTGAGCAGTAATGTCTTCACAGATGATGCACCTATTAGTCTGGGCTACCGATGAATTCAAAACTACACTTTTGTCGTTGTCACTGAATAGTTTCTTTGCCGACTATCGTTATTCTCCAAATGTCATCAGTTCACGATTTATCATGACCACTATTCAGGTGCTATGGTTCAGTTTCCCTCCTCATGGCAAGCGTAGTTTTCTACATAAACCACGATTTCTTGGTAATAAATTGGATGAACTAATCTCGAAGCAAGTTGGGAATGAGATTGGTTTCTAAATTCTTTTTTAAAGAAACTGTTAACTATGGGGTATATCTAGTTGACTGTAAGAATGAATGCCCATAGATGAAAACGGATGTTGGTCGCACTAAGTGGTTAATTGGCAAAAGTTGATATACGTGCACCTTTTTATTCCAATTCAGTAGCTGAGTGGTCATTTACTCACCAAGAGATCTGATGATCCTGTGGTCGATACTGATTGGGGTTGTGTGTGGGTGGATTGTAAGTCATAAATTAGGATTAAATATCTCTCTTTTGCTCCCAGGTTTTTAGTTGTTTTGTGGCTAACGTCCTTTGCTGATGTAGTTTAAAAATACTCAAACTACAGAAAGAAAAGTAGAAAGATTCACGAGTAAAACGTCATGCTTTTCTAACGTTAAAGACAGTGGATATAATTATGAATGAAGGAGCAGCCATCTCCTTCAGCTTTAGTCAGAAATGTATATTAATGCTTTCCTAGTGTTTATTAGTAAGTGCTTCATATGGCATATGAGGTAATTCAACACTTTCGGAAAATAAATGGAGATAGTGTAGGCTTATCCAGGAATGTTTTTGATCTCACTGTGTCTTATTCTATAGGAAATGGTTGGTATCTCTGTCTATAAAGACATATCATTCACATCAGCAGTTATTTCTTACACATTATGTAACAGCCTACCTGTGACCCTGAATTTTCTAATTGATGTTTCTATCACATACCAATTATCCAAGGACAATACCATCAACTGCACGTTTACCTCCACTGGATATTCCATTCATTCAGAAGATGTATAGCCACGTTGCTTACTTCTTTAGTGATAGATTATAAAGTTTCAAGATGACACTATAAGCAGTTATTTTGCTGACAGATGAGAATGACGAATTGTGACTATCAGGATACCATGCCCAAACAAAATGATGCTTTTGTTGAGAGTTAGAGGAATGAGTGTTAGCAGAAGTAACACTAAGCTCTGTTATTAGTTGTGAAGATAACGTGATAGTACACGGTGTTCTTTTTTAATTCATTTTGACTGTTAGTCATACCGAGCAAGTTATCATTTCCTGCATATTCGTGAAATAAAGTCGAATATGGCAAATAATAAGTCCATATTGCTTCAACAGACCCATTTTAGAAAGTTAATTTCGTACAGTAAATATGCTAAAGCAACATATAAATCATTAATCATCTACACGATAGTTGTGAGATTTAATCTCACAGCTATCTTTTTTAGAGTATCTTAGTTCATCTTTTGCACAGACTTCAATTCATTCAGTTTTTCTACGGTTAGAGGGAGATATCACGCCATTTTTGACTATGTAGTTGATAGATAACATAAATTTTATTTAGTAGATGAATTATTTTCTTATTATTATAATATTTTTAAAAGTTTGCTCAACAAAAACATGATTGCGATTTTGTATATTTATGGAGGCTTTGCTATCCTGAATGTCTAGTTTGTTATTTTTTGGAGATATCTGTTATTAATATCTCAAAATGGCTATGTCAGATAAACAAAATGGACGTAGAACCTCACGCACAAGTACGTCAGTTCAAGTTGTATAAATATGCAAGCTTTAGAAGACGTTGAGGAGCGGATATGTCTGGGCCATTGTGACCAATTTTCAACCATGTCACTTAAAGTCCTAAACTACTGATTCCTGTTATCTCGAGGACACCACCCGGGTAGTCTACATCTCTTCACGCAGCTCAGACCAATTGTTAAGAACTTCATAGACTGGTGTCACTTCTTGATTTGTCTCTCCTGAACTCTCTCCCAACCTAATCCAACTTCCTCTTATATGGCGTATCAAGGTAGGTTACGGCTCGAGATACAGTGTATATGTCCAAGCCATCTCAGTCAACTAAGGTTCAGAACTTCATCAACTGGCTTGCCTTTCTTGCCCCATACCTTTCGTTCGAACTCAACACTGCTCACACGGTGGCCAACTATACACGAGCAATGCTATGAAGACAATTGTGGTCAAAACATTAACCACTTCAAATCATTTTTTAACAGCCATGTCTCACAGCCGCATGACAAGATGAAACGAACCTCAGTGCAGTACACTCGTCCTTTGGTAAATTACCGGATATCTCGCCAGTCGGTGTCATAGACGACGCAATTTAGCAAAATGGATATGGATATTACTCAGTGACTATCGGACATATTGGCTTGTGATTATTAATGTTATAAACGAATATGAGTATTTGAGGTAGGCTTGTTTAATTTCTTGTAACTTTCGTCGATGTGTTCTCTATTGCCTGATTTGCTACTTATTAAGTTGATTACTTTCTTTGACCATACAGCTTGATTTTCGTTATTACCCACTTCTAGATGTCTGAATCTGATGGAAAGCACAGATTGACTCTTTTGGAGGTGACCAAAAAGCATTCTGGTACATGGGATTTAGTATCTTATAATTCACAAGGTTTGCTAGTTAAGTCATGTCAATTATTTGTTACTGGACAACAGTCGAATGGTCATTCAAATGAAGCTATTAAAACAAAAACCAGTGGAACTATTATTAATTTAAAAGCTTCCACCAAAAAGTTACAATCAAATAATTCAAAGGTTTTCAATCAAGAAAATTCTATTGATCAGATAAACAAATCTCCTGAAGGTCAGGTAAACTCCTTTGAGAATAAATCAAACCAATTTACTTTGGGAATTGATTCGAAATTGGAACCACCTGAGTTCACTTCTATGTTCACAGATAAAGTGGCAAACGCAGGTGAAACAGTATGCTTAAGGTGCTGTGTTATAGGAAACCCTAAACCTGTGGTAAGTAAAATAATCTAAGTATCGTCGGAGGAAATGTTGAAGGTCTTTTTAAAGATAGTTAAATTCCTTGCATTTCTTTTTTACTCCTCTAATTACTAACAATGTCTCCGAAGAATGCCATCATTGAAAAACAACACTTCATTAATAAAAGTGTTCAAATAATTTATTCTACCATTCATTGTGAATATCAATCCTCCACAGTGTTGGGTAGGAAGTATTTGTTTGGACAACGAATCTCTATGAGTAATACGATATGCGTTACACTTTATTATTGAGATAGGTGTGATTATATTATCCTATCTATTTGTATCTATATGGTCACTTCAATGTAAGAACTACAAATACTTGGATAGATGAAGTTGTCAATATAGTCAGGAGCTGTTATTGATGTTGTCGGTTGAATCACATCAGGAAGAAATTACAACCCATGATTCTTTACTTTACGCTTTAAGAAACTCATATTAATATTTTTGAGCCATTTAAGCATTTACTTTTGAAAATGTTGTATTTGAATACAGAAAGATCACCAATTGGGGTTGTATAACATGGTGTCCTTTTGTTTCGCCGATTTCTTGTCAGCTGCTGACAATCTAAATCATCTGAAATACATATCACCAAGGAATATGGACATACTTTTGCTACATAATATCCAAATATCTTAGGTTTCAAGCAGCTGATAAGGTACCGGAGAAATAAAATGTTACCATGTTATTTTGCTCTAGTCACTATTCTTCCTCTATTCAGAACTTTGAAGGTGAATATATGAATGGAATGTTGTCTTTTGTTGTATTTTTACAGTAGGATTGGAATCGTTATTCGTTCTAGGTAGATTTAGTAATACTGAGGTGAGATAATAATATCTGGTGTGTTGTCACGGATGCAAATTTGGAAAATGCATCGTTGAAAGTATAGAACTTAACCATCCTTGAGTGACTCTGAAATGACAACAAATGTGTAGGGATGCGTGTTACAATTCCGTTACGTTTGATCAACCCTACTTAATTTGATGTGCTCTAGTACCTGCTTAACCAGTACTTTACCTAACGTGTAAGTACTGATAACAAAACACAAATCAAAAGAACTGATACGCAATGTATTTGAAGGAGCTATGTATTTAATTAAAGTAAGTGTAATAGTAATGAATGAGGGAAAAGTTTAATCAACTTATCTGGCTTATAAGGCTGAACTAGGGTCTCAGAGTACGTGCGTGGTAATCAGCACAATGGAGCGCAAAAATGGCGTCCAAGCCTGCTCGGATGCATGCTCGTTAAAACAAAACTTAAAACACCCTAAGCATCCGGAGGCAAGCTAGAGATTTATTTAGTTAATTTAATTTAAACTATTTATTTTAGCCCTAGTTATATTTTGGTGCCAGGAAGGTGCACTACAAGTGCACCGATTGGGGGGCGGCAGTTTTTTAAAACTTTTAACGTAGAAATGAAATGAAATTACAGTATATGTAGTTTTCTTACGATATTTGGAAGCTCATCTAGGTCGGTAACTGCTTTTCGCTGTCGAAAGGTACATAATATAAAGCCATTGATCTATTTAACTTTGTAACACAAAACTTCTTGAACAATGATATAGAGTTTGATAGCCTTTAAAGCGGTACCCTATCGGCTCTAAATTATTTTTACGGACCTCTGTAGAAGCATTTAAGTATAGGACTATCAGAATCAAAAGTAGACATCAGGTTTATGACGTTGTATATTTGGTAAGGACTTACAGATTCCAAAGTACAAACAAGAAATAGGTCCTTTTTATCACTACTGTATGTTTTAGGAGGTGGAAACTAAATAATAAAGCATAATGTACGATAAAATTCTTCAGAATTGTGTCCTTAACAGGAAATATAGATAAAAGAACCTATTAAAATTAGCAAGTAGTGCAAGAAGATCACATGAAAAATAAATCCAATCGATTCATTTAAAATTATCGTCATCAAGATTCTGCATAAGCTTATCTATAATCGGCTACATCCTTTCACAAACACCTTCAACGTGATTGGTCACTTCATGGTTATTTGATAGCAGCTCAAGGACGACTGAATTCTATGGTCTTTTTGATGCATATGGAGGAAACTGAGTGACCTGACTTCCATCCTTTATGGGAATAATGTATGTTAGGAATTCTGCCTAAGTTTCTTCTAGTTTATGATATATTTAGTAGTGAGAATAATGATTGTAGGTTTTAGTTTTGACATGAAAACTTTGATCATTTGAAACCTACATACTAGAACCGATACAGGAGATGCTGGGTATTCTGAAGCAATATACAAACTTAGCGGTCCTATTCCCTTAGGACGTCTGTAGTTTCACGTACAAGAATTATTTGATGCCTTCATGTTTAGGAAACTTGACTGGTATTTTATCTAAGTGCAAAGAGCTGTAGACTTTTAATTACTGACAATCATCTGTAAACTTAGTCTGTTGATTATATATAATATAGAGTTGTGTCTGATATAGGTTCTAATCTTCCTTTGAGTTCACTCATTATTTCATTGTCTGACACCCTAAGTGGACTAGATCAAATAGTTTGGGTGTAGAGTATTCAGTTGACTTAGTTTATTTAGATTAATTTATGCTAGAACCAAAAACCTGTCTGAACAATTAATGTGATAAATTACCACTATGCGTTTACTTCATTCACATGACACTGGGTGGTTGAGAGGAAACTGAGACCTAGTTAGTGGTTTCGATCAGGAGTATCTTTCTTGTAGTACAGTTGTGATTGCTTGTTTGAACTTTTTGAAAGGAAAAAGATGTATGATGTGAAATTACACTCTTTCCGGGTGAACATGTTCTACTCTTATATCATTATGAATACGTTTATTTCTGCACTCCAATGTCGTGTACTGTTCTTTTAATTGGCTATCAGCCGTCCAATAGATTTTATAGCATTAGCAACGTCTAAATAGCATTTGCAATCTCTTAAAACATCATGATTTAGTTTTTGATTTCAGAGCCAACTGAAAAGTGGTTCTGACTCTAAATATTTTGACTTTCCGCGTACATCAGGGTTTATTTGAGAGGTGGAGATCCTGTTGGTGAATTAGTTATAACATATAGTTGAACCCGACAAGATATCAGTAAGTATATATAATAAAATGTTTTGGTCCAAATTTTTCTTCCACAAAGTGAACTTACATCCACCGGTCATCACTAGAGACAATATAATTGGTGGATTCTACTGAGCGCTCGCGATAATCAAGCTTTATCAGCTGCAAAACTGAAGTCAACAGGGATCCCAGTGTTCGTAAAACTTCATATTTTCATCCACTCAGTTGTTAAGTTATTAGTCCGACAAAAAAGTCACTGAACTTAAACTATACATGCCCGATTTCTTGTACTTACTTCATATACCTCCAATGATTTATCTAATTAATGACTTTTTTATTATTTCACTCTCAGGTTCAATGGAAATTTAACGGGAAGATTATGAATTTACCTAGTGAAAGAATTCGTATGATCCATGTTAAAGATGAGTATTCGCTGATTATATATGATACATGTTCTGATGACATTGGACGGTATGAAATTACAGCTGAAAATGTCATTGGTAGAGCAACTTGTTCAGCTCTCCTTTTGATAAACTCTACACCAAGACCTCGGTAAGGAAAAAAATTTTAGAAATCAACTTTACATTACTTTTTCATGTGCTGCAGTACATACTTTCTGATTTAAAATTCTCAACAAAAAATTTTTAAATATCCAATTCAAAGACATAAATTACAATTTTTTTAATTTTTCAATTATTTCGATCAGCGTTTTTTCCGACTGATGTCAGTCGGTGATGAATACTGCCTTAAACATATTAGCCCCATTAGCCTCAGAATACATTATTGTATGGTGCTCATTAGTGTGACATGCTTCGAGACAAATATCTCTAAGTTATAGTGCGAAACCGTGACTTGCGGGGTCAACTAGTCGAAAATGAAGCGCATATCAACTGAAGACCTTGGATAAGAGTCGTGCTACATTGCGAATTGACAGAAGTAAGAAACTATGGACCATGGAACTGTGACTCGGCAGCTGAGTGGTTAACACGTTTGCTATGAAACTCGAAGGTCCTGAGGTTGATCACTGACGTAGCGAGGTATGTGCACTGCTGAGAAATCCCAAACTAGGACGAACCAGCTGTCCAAAGGTTTCAGGTTTTCAATGATTCTCCAACTGATCTCATTCCATGACGAATACTACTTTACTTTGGTCAGTTTAGTCAATATACATAGCTTAGTAGTTGTTTATCGGCAGTAATCAGTATATCTAACCTCTCCGAGGTAACTAGTTCACTAGTTACTAACCGGTCCTTAGCCCGGAGAAAGAGGGAAGGTAGGCCAAAGGGCTAGCAACCCTACCCCGTAAAGCCAATCTAACCGCTAAAAAAACTTCATAGCACAAACAAAATATAAAAAATAAAATTAAACTTATTACTCGCTGGAATAGGAGAGATGGAACGACGCTGTTTGGTGAAAGCCTTCGGGAAGCCAATTGGTTGGTGTCTCCTATTCTCTTGATGAAAGCGAAGGTAAACATGGAATGTTCGAACGATGTTTGAAGCTGGCTAGCAAGGCTGCCCAGATTGCCACAGAGATGAGAAGGTATAGCATAGAAATATTAGTAATCTGCGAGAAATCTGCAGATAAAATGGAAGTGTACTCTCCAAACTCCCAACTGCAGAGTCAGAAATCTACTTCAATATTGTCACCCAGACGACAACCACGAGCACACTGAGTTTTCGAGTGGCTATCACGATGTTTCCAAGAGCATCGAGGGCTCTCATGCAGTGGGAACCAACCTCCTCTACGATCAGGATCATGAAAGCAAGGTTCAACTCAAAAGGAAGGAAAGTCACAATCATACAATACTACGCTACACATCTACAAATTATCCAGATGAAGAGAAGGACGGATTCTACAGACAACTGAAATCAGTACTTGACAAGACCCCACCCCAGTTGGTGACATCAAAATTCTAATGGGTGGGGTGACATGAATGCCAAACTTGGAGCAGACAACACAGGAAGAGAACTCATTATGGGTTGAGAGGCAGTCGGTGAAATGAACAAGAACGGAGAACTATTTGCAGAATTCGCTGCATTCAACGATTTGGTGATTGTAGTCAGGCAGTGTGTACAAACACAAGGATATTCACGAAGCGACATGGATTGGATTTCACCAGATGGACATACTACACTAGAAATCAGATCGACTTCATGTCAATGTGAAGAAAGTGGAGACGCAGCTTACTGGACACGAGATCAGATGAAGAAGGGGAGCAGATGTAGGTTGACATCACTCAGTATCTAGTCGAAGGAGCCTACCTTCTAAATCAAGTTGAAAGCCTTCGAAGAAGGTGGTGATAGACCACAGTTGAAGTTGAACACCCAGAACAGAAACTGAAGGATGAAACTACAAAGGACATGTTCACGTCAGCCAGGCATCAAGACAAAGTGGGAGACATTGAGCAACATCGTTGAAGAAACCTGTGTGGGAGAACACTGGAACTAATTGAAAGCTATGTGAAAAGAAATCTGCATAACTGTATTAGGAAGAAAGAAGAAATAAGACAAGGAATGGATCTCGACGGGCACATGGAAGTTGACAGAGGAGGGAGAGAAAGATGGTGAAGCAGAAGGTAAAACAGTGCAGTGCAGGGATGAACAACGAAAAGATGAACTGACTACAACCTATAAAACACTACACTTGACAAAGAAGTGAGGAAGATTGCACGGAAAGACAGAAGACACTTCTACGACAGACTGGCAAGTAAAGTGGAACAGGCTGCCGTCTGGTGGGAGAGACCTGATAACATTGTATCAAAAAACCAGGTTACCATCTGTGAAGAGATCAACTCAGAGTAAACTGATGAGAGATAGTGAGGGAAAGCTAGTCAGCAAAGAGGAGAAACAAAGGAAACGATGGGCTGACACTTCAAGAAACTCTTGAATCGTCCACCACCACCACCACCACCTGCAACTCACTCGGAAATACCACCAGCAGCCCGGCCACAGAATTACAAGTGAACACCTGTTCCCCGACAAAAGCAAAAGCAAACTCCTGCACGCCACAAAGCAGCTAAAATCCTGGAGAGCAGCAGGACCAGATGGAATTCCACCAGAATCACTAAATACAGACTCAGTAACAACAGCGTACATCCTCACGCCACTACTGCAGAAGGTTTGGAAGGAAGGAAAGATGGGCTAACTGGTCAAAGAAATGAGACCTAAGTCTTTGCAAGAACCGGCGCGGAGTCAAGCTGCTGTCCATCCCAAGCAAAATATTAGGCCGCATCATCCTGGAGAGACTAAAAGATGCGCTTGCTTGAAGTATTCGACCGGGACAGGCTGGCTGGAAGATTAAATCATGTGCAGATGAAACTGCAACACTACACTACTCATCATTATAGAACATAGCGTAGAATGGTAGTCAACTCTTCACCTCAACTTCATCAACTTTGCAAAAGCCTTCGACAGCATCGACCGAGAAGTAATTTGGCAACTGCTTCAACACTACGGTTTCAGTGCCACAAACTTTTATCAACCTCATTCAACCTCATTCAACAACTGTATGAAGACGCCACATGCCGAGTGATTCACAATGGGAAGCTCAGTGATGCCTTTGAAGTGAAGACAGGAAGGAGTAAGACAAGTTTACTGCCTACTATCGCTGATGATCTTCCTGATTGTGGTCGACTGGATCATGCAGCAAACTGTGAAGAGGGAGAAGAGGGGCATAATGTGTCCGACTGATGAAAAGAGTCTAGAAGATTTGGATTTCGCTGATGATGATGCTGATGATTTATGTCTAATGTGCTGTCGCACAAAGTCGAAGATGTAGAGGCAAAAACGAAGAAGTTGACAGAATAGGTAGGGCAGCGAATATGGGACCTGAAGTGAATGTAGAGAATACAGAGGTGATGAAGATACTATGTCAACAACAAGAACAACAAGCACCGATCAGCATGAAGGGGATAAACCTAGAGGAAGTAGTCTCTTTCACTTACCTACCTACCTACCTAGCCAGCATCGTTTAAATCACAGGTGGCATAGATGAGAATGTCAAAGCTAGGATCGGGAAAGTAATTAGTGGTAGTAGTAGTAAGTAGTCTGGACCCTTTGTGTAGACCTACTGCACTTAGTATGAAACGTGAACAAGATCCGGATTTTCAACACTAAGTCAGTGAAGTCAGTGCTTCCATGTGATGGTTGAGAAACTTGGAGCATTACGGGAAGCGCTTCCAACAAACCACAGACATTCATGAACAGTCGCCGCCTACACTGGCTTGATACTGAAGATCAGGTGGCCAGATTAATAGATAAGAGTGAGCAACGTGGAACTGTGGCCGTCAACAAACCATCCATGAATTCATCACGCGAGAAATGTGCATAAGAAAGTGGAGATGGATTGGATTAGGCATGTACTGAGGAGACCGATTGGGGATCATAGGGGCCAGGTCGTGAAGTAGAACGCTGAGGGTAAACGACAAGTTGGGCGTCTGAGGCGTGGGTGACATGGAGATTATATGGGGAAGAAAAGCAAGCTTGTGGACAGTGGTGGAGGCAGTTTGAAAAGAATGGAGAGGAGAGAGTGAAATGGTGACGTGCTACTGAAGCTGTATGTTCCACTAGGAACCCATGGGACAAATAAGGATAATAGATCAGTGTATATGTTACCTTATGAGTTTCATTCATTATTTTTGTCTGTATTTATTTTTGTGAGTTGAATATGTAAGCATTTGTATTTGTTTATTTTTCACTTCTTTGGAATATTTATGTTACTTCAACTTGCGGGATAGTGTTTGTAGCCAGTTGATATCATAAAATTTCGCTGTAAAGTGCACATGAACTGCATTTTAAGTTATGTAATCGAAAACTATGCATGCCTAAGCTAGAAGTATCTGAAAAACTATTTTTCCACCACAAATAAAACTCAATCATTTTCTTCTTAAAATAACTGTCAACGTATATTTTGTAGGGAGAAGTTTACTTTAATTGTTTGCTTCTGTTTGAAATCTGAAATATATTGCGGTCTGTTTCATGCTGTGGAATGACAGTGCATCTTTTCTTATAATAGTTTGGCTCAGCTACAGAAAGTGTGCTATTACTTTTAGGGACTGATAGAAATCTTGTTATGAAGTTTGGTAGTTGCAGTGGCCGAACAAAAATTACACGTAGATTTCAATTTATATTGTACAATATCTTCCTGCGTTGATTTGTTTGTCACTATTACTCAAGGTCATTAGATCGTTGCGGCCATTTGGAAGCCAGAAGATTATGAAGGCAATATGTATAATTGCATATACTTTCTTCTTCTTTTCAAGGTTTGGTCACTAACTTAGGTTGGTTTTGTGGCTCACGCATCATTTTACGTCTGTCTATGCAACATTTGTAAGCGGCACCTAGGAAAACAAAAGTACAAGTATCTAAACTGCAAATGATAGGGGAAAATGAGAGAAAACAATTATTTTGGACCTGTGTAGTTGTAACAGTACATACGTACTACGGAGTTGGAAATTAAAATGAATCTCCTATCTCATTAAAAGCGTTTCTGCTTGATGAAGTCATTCACATAAGATAATCAAAGCCTTATTTTTCCTTCGAACAAAATTGAATTTGTTTTCTTTTTTTATACTTATAATTTTCTGTTGATATACCAGACCGAACTGATTGATCTCTGTTGACTTATGGGTAATTGTGTGAATGCTTTGATATCGCCTGAAGATTTATTATGCTTGATGGTGGCTAGCGGTTCAGTCCAGTACGCGTGTTTAGTACTAATTAGGGCTCATAAACTAGATGTACTTGGTTTCCGGTGAGTGGTTTTGTCTCCATGGGAACTTGAAGTTAGCACCTATTGCTTTGAATGCCAGCGAGTTATTCACCTAGATAATGAGTTACGGGAACAAGCTGTTTTTCAACATGTATAAGTAGTTAATCATTTATACTTTTAATTTTTCGTTGATTGGTTGATCGACCTCTGCCAACAGTTTCTTTTCAAGATAACGTCCACCTTGTTTTTGACTGTAATGTGCATTAGTTACACTTTAAAACAGGTTTAAGAAATACATTCACACTGCATTTTAAGAAGCACAAGTGAATGTTGATATTTTCTGGGTTAGTATAACATTAGAGACTTATTGGGATCAAACATTTTGAGAAATATCTACTTCTTTCCTATTTAAGACAAGCAACCTAATTCCTTTATTAGTTTGTTGAGGGCATATCTCAACGTTAACAGGTACATTGACGTATTCATTGGTGATAACACGAACTTCAATGACATTCAGTTTTGCAACCAAATCCCCTACTAAGATATCATATAATTCTTTTGTACCATATAGAATATTTACTGAAAAGTCCATGGATGATTGACCTTCGAAAGTAAAATGATAACGACTTTTCTTTTTACTGATTATGTGAAATCTTCATTTACAGACATATCAGTCCATCCAGTGAACCAGAATATACTACATCTTATGCAGAAAAATTCGGTTATGATCGATACAACATACATGCATCACGAGAACGTTGTCATTCAGGGACACAAACTCCCGAAAAGAAAAGATCATCTCTTATTCGTTCAATTAGTGCCCCATTGTCTCCGTTAGAACCTGATAGACATGGCCACAACGGTCAAGTATTTTTAACATGTCGTATGTGTTGTGCACCAATTGTTCGAGGATACGAGGATAGTCAAGTGAAACATCCAAGTCATAAGTCGGAGGTTTTACAAGCTAACTACACTGGAGTAAGTCTTATTTTTTGTTATATATATCATGAGATCATAACTCACGTTTGTATTCATGCCAATTCTTTGGTGATGGTTATATGAAGTGAATTCCTAGGTTAGCAAAAGTTCTTCAAATGCAGCATTTTGAATACTACTGCGGAGTTTCGGCATAACTTCGTTTTTAAATCGACCCAGTATGCTTTAATGGATAGCACCTAGAGTAATGAAACGAATTTCGATAAAATGTTCTTATTTATCCTACTCAGGAGCTGGAAGACTTGTTTGTTCAAAAAAATTTTGATTTTGATTTTTATTGTACGTTTATTTTTGTTAGTAGCATGAATAATTCAACTAAATTTATCAGTATGTGTCTAATCGACTCATTATTGTAATTTTCGGAATTATGATAATTTTTGTTAGGAATCAGTGATGTAGGAAATCAACCACCTTAGACACTGAACAATATTGAGTATTAATGCGAAAATTATTCGTATGACTAGTTAGGTGAAATAAGTACAAACTAATTCAAGTAATTTTGTTTTCATTGATGAAGAATCGAGAAGACTCAGAGAAATATGACGTTGCATGGCTCAGTGTCTTTTCCAAAGATCTCACCGATCTCTTCATTTTTTGACTGTAACGCTGAAGGACTAAATTATGCGCATTAAAACAAGAGAAGTTTGCTGAAGCGTCAATTTTATCAGTGATTCTATTCTTAAGTTATAAAATCGCATATAAATTTTACATTTACTGGACAATCGAAAAAAAATGTTCCACAAGTTTTTTATACCAGAATTTTGTTTTCATCAGAAATCCGGAGATCGGGAAAAAGGTTATGTAGTGCTTAGAGCATCAAACGGAATAATGGGTTGAATGATATAATATGGTGAAGCGAGTTAATGTACGCAATGAGAACTCAGAATTTTAAGAGTGGAAGGATGTGACGTATGAGAAAGTGTAATATGTAGGTAAGCAAGTGAAAAAAGAAAATTTGGGGGTATAATACTCTTACAGGTTATATCGACTGCAGATCAACTGATTCGATAAACTTCCTTTGAATGTTAGGTTCAAAGAATGCACAGCCATGGCTTTACAGTTTGAAGAAGTTCCAGACAAACCTTTCACAGGGTTTTCACGAACTCTATAGATGACCTTTAAAGTTGTTTTCTGCATTTATCTGGTGGTTAAAATCTATCAGGTTTTCAAATATAAACTGCAAAGTGCTCTCTTCCTCTCTTTTGGAAGCAAGCTAGTACATGTTCGTAGACAAGTTAAGAAAGCGGATGCTTAGTGTAGTCTACATACTTGACTCCTCAAGAGTAGGTGAAATAATCTTTCATTGTCTAAAAACCAATATTCTGACCTCATTTCTGACTGGAATTTAAAATTGTGACATTTTTGTATTACATTAAGAGTAAATGCCTAATTTTTGGCAGCATAACTGTAGTCATAATAAGCTTAGAATCGGAGGAATTATTTGACATTTACCATCTGAAAAGTTATTATAAATTTAGGAACATTAGAAATGAGACATTAGGAAGACTTTACTACCCAACATGGGTTTCGGGTTATTCCATATTTATATTTATCTTTACGTTAATACTAACGTGAAAGCCATAATAATTAGCTGAATAAATTCTTCTCAGCAAACCTTACGAATACTTTATGAAAAAGTGTGAACGCATCTAAGTGTTTGTAACTGGTTAATGTAATCCAGAACAAATCGCTACGTCTGAAGGTGTAATTGTATAAAATTACAACATTTGCAGTTGTACATTCATCAATTAACAATCAGGACTTAGAAAGTAGGTACTTTTTATTCGATGATGAATGTAATTTACCTAGAATAAAGAAGGAGTAAGTTTCGTCATCGGTCGTTAGAAATCAACCGGCAGAAAGTTTAACATCAAGTTTTTATGCTTCTTAACACTCATCAGTTAAGTGTATCTACACTCTTATGGAAACGTATATTCCTTAGGAGATACAACGGGACGTCAGTTATTCCCAAAGTTAAAGGTTGCACTGTTAGACTATTCAGCTTACGAATAATCCCTTTACGATGAGAGAATGAGGATGAATCTTCCTAAAGTCGGTAACTGATGCAGATTTCAACATTTCAGCTTGCAACACTGATCCAATTTATCAGTAAAGGGAAAACAGAAGTAGAGTCTGAGAAAGTGGAGACCACAAGTATGATTGCATCATGTGGTTTGGAAGAAAGATAGTTAAAGGTAGGAAAATATTTCATAATTTCTTGTTTCACTCACGTTAGGAGGTTTCCTGCTCATCTAATAAGTTCTTGTCACTGTTCATTTATCATTTGTACCATTGGAATTTTGAAGCTGGATTGTTATATTGCCTACTGATGGAAAAACCAGATCTTTTGTACTGTTGGTGAAGTCTGTTATTCAATATGTGTTGTTGGTCGTATTACTGGGTGATTGAATGGAAGAGAATAATTCGGGTCACGAGCAAGAGACATAGACCAATTTACAGCGTAAATAGGGAAATTTCTCTTGGTTTCCGAAACATTAATATGCAGCTTCATACAGCAGTAAAATGCTGTACAATTTTAAATCCAAGTAAACGACCCTAAGGACTAGTTTTGCTTATATTGTGCATGTAATGAAGTCGTTTGTATACAGGAAATTACTCAAAATTTAGTTTAATCTTATTTGATTGATCAACAAATTCTCCACCTTATGAACCTGAAATATAACTTTTATAAGAGTTTCTACTTTCGGGTATCAATCTATACGATATTTTTTGTCAAGGTATCGCGACTCAGTAGTCCAGACGCTGGACTATCACCTATTACATCACACAACTGAATTAGTTCACAATGAAGTGGATCAGCACACATAACAGTTATTGAACTCCCCACTTTTGTTTTTTACTTATTGCAGACATATTCACGAGGGAAACCGTGGACAATAAGACGCCATAAGTGTTCAAGTGGTGTATCACGCAGAATGGTTGGATCTGGTACACAGACAAGGTAATCCACCCAAGTGTATTCATTTTCACGCATTAAATTGTCATATATATATATATATATATATATATATATATATATATATATATAAATGAAGGGGCATGAATAAATATCAGACTGGTTAGGTGTTAGTTTTAGGCATTTCCTCAAGCATCTACTGCTACTTTGACCGGATTCAACAGCACTAAAATGGATCATTCGCTAGAAACTTAGCGATTCCAGAAGTCGTACACACTGTTCTCAGATAAGAATTCAAGTTTTATTCTCCGTTGATAATAATGGCAGATGGTGGCTAGAAGCGGAATCCAGGACACATGTCTCGTCCTATTCGACAGTCGTCAGCCGGATGAACTTAGCTTTCAGTGAGCGATGTTTCTCCTACTAAGACTGGTACCCGAGACCGATGATTTCAAATGGCAAGGCGTTATCTATTAGGCCACCGAGTCATGATCTTCACTTCTTATGCTTGTATTATCCAGTTGTCCTGGATTCCTCTGCTAGTCACCATCCGTATATCAAAACTGAAACGAAAAGGAACTATTGAAGTGTCCGTGAAGGAACCCATATGTCAATAGAGAGAGAGATCTATTTGGTCTGACCAACGATGGGGTTAATGAAAGCAACATCATTTGAATTTTCTACTTCTGAAAACACAGAAAAAAACATTTTGATATTAATTTGACCTACTATCAAACTTTTAAGTAGTGTAAAAAGTCAAAATATATTTTAGGGTGTTTATCTGAAGATTCACTTATTTGGTATATCAATCGTCCTTCCAAATGGGTTCTGCAAAAAGATAGATAAACCAAGTTGTATGTAGATATAACGTTGCTAATGGTTTAGACTGGTATTCTAAGTGGGTTCTGTTCAAGTGACCTATAGGGTCAAAGTTCTTCAACACTATTAATACCAGCAAACAGTTTTCAAAGGTGTAATCAGTAGATATCTGGTGTATTTGTTATTTGTCAAACCTTATATTTCATGGGATAAATGGAACAAAAGAGATTCCTAACTACGGAAACGTGTATTGATCTGTATGAGTTGCTTAAATGCGCATTTTGTCGGCTGCATAAAAAAAGCCTGTCACAATTCAAAGAGACTGTAGTGCCTAGAGTCCTGTGCGAAAATGTAGAAATTATTTTTAACGTCTATCCGAATCATTTGAAATAGGATTCAGCTACTGTTTTGGAGAAATTCCTCGGCACTGATAAAAGTGATCTGCGTAGTTATTCTTAAAAAATTATCCATTTGTTATCTGATTAAGTTATGAACTGAAAGCTTTTAGCTGTTGTCGCAAATGCGAATATCCTAGAGTTTTATATCGTGAATCATTGATGAATTATCACTAAATTAGGTTACGTTTTCACATTTTCCTTTTTATCAACGTTAGATTGTCACGACATCGAAGTGAAGGTTCATTACTGCATCAATGTCCTTATTGTGAAACTTTAATGCTCCCGGTCAACCCACCTAATTTAAGAAAAACAAAACCTTGCAAAATTGAACGGATTTTAAGTTTGCCTAACGAATATCAGCAATCAGTGGAACAACAACCACAACTGCAGGAGGAAGCTATTTATTATTACCAGCCAAATTACAAGCAGATAGTTGTCTCACATAAAACAACACGTACAAAGCATACTAACATAACAAAGACAACTGACTCACACCTGCCTTCATCTCCCATGCCATGTGAAGTAAAGTCGTCAACATCTTCTGATATACCTCATAAATCCACCAGCCGACCTCGTGAAATACCCATTCGAATTCAACGGGCAGATGGTGGTGACATTCAGAATAAATCAAGGTACGACTCAGTAAAATCTAGAACTAAGCGTACAGTGAAAAGTAATCTCCATTCAGAGGGAACAGTTAGTGTGGTCGAAAGTTCAGACAACGATTCAACAGCCTTTTGAAAAAACAGTAAGAAAAAGCACTTTTTATACATAGACGAAACTATTAATTTAAACAAGTAATAAAAACCATAATTCGGTTTTTTATTTGTTGTACAATATTAGTGTGAATTATTTTTCTTAATACTTGCAATGAATCTGTACATTAATTACTGCTTTCTTACTTCCAAGTAGCAATAATTCCACTTCTTAGAAATAAAACTTTTCTCCAAACGTTTGTGCTTTCAGTTTCACCCCTTTTTTAACCTGAATACTATCCACTATAAAATATAATCTGTAGTGTTGTTTTTTCCTGAAAAGACAATGCATATTTTTTCTAAATGGTTATATTTTTTCAATAAAAGCAGTTGAATAAAAACAAACTACTTTTGAGAAAAAAGTAGCAAAAGTAAATCAACGGAATTTTGTAATTTGCTCACCTCAGTTGTTATACATAACCTCGTTTATTCCCGTCGTTGTTCACCATATTTGACTGAGATAAACATGAGATGCACGAAGACTAGCCTACTTCTTATGATCACATTTTAATGGTATGATTTTGATGAGGTCAGAAAAAAAGTTAGACATAAAATTTTATCAAATTTCGAAAATTATTTCTTCTGTACATATTGTTTTGTATTACGCTTTACAGCATAGTTTTGCTTCATTAAATAGTCAATTAATATTGAATAATCTTATAACCAAGCTTTTTTTGGAAGATTTTTGTCGGGAGATTAAAATCAAATAGCATGTTGCTGCTTATGATTACTTGTGGTCTTATCAGTCTTCAAGGGTTTTATCTCCTCCAAAGATAAAGAATACTTTATATTGTGAAGAAATGTTGCGTCAAAAGTAAGCCTCGATAACGTCACTTGGAATGACATTTTAGTGACACATTGTTGGGACCTTAGGTGAAGTTCCGTTTATTGTTGAATTTCTGAAATGCAGATAGTCATGAAACGCTGAATGAACCATATCATGAACTGATAGAAGTAGGAAATATGGACCGTTGGATTCCGATCTCAATGGTAACTTACTGGCCGCGGAACCTAAAGGTCCTGGATTCGATCTCTGGTGAGGTTATAAATGCCTGCTGCCAAGGAGTCTCATACTTTCCAGTGCCCCCAGATTTCCAGTGTTTCTCCATCTGATGTCAGTCCATGATGAATACCAACCATGAAATCATATATCTTTCGAAAGACTGTTTTGAAATAAACTGGATGGAAATTTAATTTTTTTTAATAGAAACTGTTGTTATTCTGATTAGTGCTACGCTTCAGAATAATGTGGATTTAAGTGATTGCATTGCATGGTTAGATTTTGTGTAACATCACTAAATACTTTTGTTTGTAAGCGTCATGTTTCATCGGTGTGTTAGAGAGAATAATTGGTCTTTACTTTAGGTTAGTTATCACTGTCGAGTTTATTGTTTTAAGCTAAGGTATCTTTTGTCAATAAGCTGACTTATATTTATTAGCTTTCTTGAACTGAATGGGCTGAGACTAAGTGTCGAAGATTGTGTGAATACTACAATGTAGTTATTGACAGTAAATTCTCTCTAAAAATTCTAATAGTAGTTAGGAGTTTATCACCAAACTTTACATGGTATAGAAACATTCATTACAGCTATTGCCACATACTGTACTTATTGTTCATTGATTAGGCACAGATGTGACAGTTATCACACTACGTAACGTCTATCAACAGTAAGAAGTTTGGTGACTGTATGGTATATCAATGTAATATAAAAACAGCTAAGAAGCTGAATTTAAAATTCTTTGCTAAACGCTTACAGCTAGCAGCAAAATCTGTGCGTCGACGATTTACATACTGGCCAATGGAATCTGACAACCTAAGCTTATTTACAACTTGTAATTTGATATTATATCCAAACTATCCATCCAGTGTAAGTTAGGAACACAAATTCTATATATATGGAAGAGTTTTCTGCACAGACTAAATTTGTTGTAGATTATAACTGAGGTTCTCTATCTAATAAGCGGAAGCCAACTTTTTTGAGTTAAGACAATTATTATATTACCAGTGAAATTACATTAAAAATCAGAATGAAAAAGGTAGATATATATATCTTTAAAATCCCAATGTTGCAGAAAAATAAGTTTCTGATGCTTCGTGACCTTGTAAAGGTCACTTTTCCAGAGGATGAAATTTGTACAAAATATTTTCATACTCAGATACTAGAGGAGATAAATCAAGTCACACAGGCAAATAAAAATGATAGTAATACAGAAGAAAGTTATTACTATTTGTTGATATTTGTAATTCTTCATTATTATACTGGTTAGGATTGATGGACCTCCGTATGCATATAGGCTCCCATATAGATGCCTTGATATTGCCTGAATATTCATCGTTATGATTTGCCTGGTGATGGCTAACAATGTAATCCAGGATGTGCGTTTCGTCCTATTTGTGACTGGTCAGCTGGATGTACCTGCAACCCAGTGGGTGGTATTGTTCCCGCTGATACACAAACCTCTTTCTCATAGCTTCGAATTCCAAAACGCTATCCACTAGGCCACCGTGGCAATACTAAGGCATTGGTATAGCAGCCCAACTGAGGTCGGGCATTTTGACCTAGTATAGCGATGGTAACAACACCTGATACTTGTTGCAGAGGAGACGACTCTCTTGTCCCAGTGGTCTAGTGAGTAACGCCCTGGCATTTGAAGCGGTGGGTGCTGGGTTTCTGTCTCAGCGGAAACAACATCATTCATTACAGTTCAGGCACGTCGAACAAATAAGTCCCAAATAGGACGAAATGCGGGCTATGGATTATGCTGTTAGTCATCAACAAGAAAATTACAATAATGGGGAGTGTAATCATTTTCAGTTATTAAACCGTGACTTCAAGATGAAGATGTGAATGAACATACGAATGAGTGTGAATAAATGAGTAGAGTAAGATGAATAAGAAATTCATTTTACTTATGTATGTATATACTTTGGTTATGATTTATGTGTACAACTTTTTTCCTAGTGTGCTTTTGAAGTTATTTAGATGGTTAGGTGTTTTATTCTATTAGGAGCATTAGGATTCAATATATTGTGAAATGCCACAGCTAATCGCTGTACCATGCATTTTGAAAATCCTTTTAGAATAAATGTAGCATATAAGGTGTCACTTTAATGGCGATGAAATATGATATGAACGGTCACTGTAGACTCGATTTGTACATTCTCTTATTCTGCATGATTATTAAGAGGCCATTTCGTTTGGTTTGGATATAACTCTGAAAAAGTGAATTTCACGAAGTCTCGAAACTTCAGAAGTTAGTTTTCTACTTCACTTGGGTTCTACCATTCGTCCATCGTCTTACTCACTCGATTGTGTCAGAATAAATTTTTACTCAAAAGTCTCAGAAACATAAGCTGTTTATCAGCATTTATAATAAAAAGTGGTATATTCAGAAAATTGAGCTAAATTGAACTAATTGAAAACCGTAAAAGGATCTTCATACCTGAGTGTTTAACGTCTGTGTGATTCATCTTTAATATTCTTTGGATGAAAATTGCTTTAAGTTTGAATGTGATCTCCAAAGACACTAAACTGTTTGTAAAGGGCTGAGACGTTCTTCATTTACAAAGGTGTTTAGGAGACTGCTCTCTAGATTTATTTTTACAGGCTGTTTGGCCTAATCTAACATATTTTGTTATCAACTTTTCAGCTAAGGTAATGATTGAGCGGAACTGATTTGTGTATGAGCAGGTTAGGGTTAGTGTTTCTGGCAAGCTACTGAATGCGGTGTACAATGGTGTATGACTAGCTGTCATTTTGATTGGAGTGTTCAATTAGTTAGTTGTTGAAATTGCAAGGCACTAAGGAACTATGTTCTCTTTCTCACAGACTATTCGGTGGGAAAAAGATAAGATCTCGAAAAATCAATCCATCAAGAATTTAAGCCACCAATTCCTGATTATTGACCTCACACTTATCACTTAAGATATTATAGCATCTTAAGAAACGAACTATAACTAGTACTGGTGTGTACTTCTAAGATTCAATCAGTTTTGCCTCAAAAACTAATCTCTTTTATCTTGAATTATCGAAACAATGACTTATTTTCTCTGGCAAACACAACTTTTCTCAAGAATACATACACATTATAAAGTATAACCCATCACTACCACACATAATTAAAACACAGACAATATCGAGGCATCTGCACAAGAACCTATATGCCAACAGAGGCTGATCAATTCGGTCCAATCAACGACGGTGTAATACAAGCAATGACACTAAAACTATACCCGTCGCACATGAAGTGACAGTCGTGGCTTGGTGGTGTAGCGGATAACGCTCTCACGTTTGAAGCGATCGCTTCCGAGTCCGAATGTCAGGGGGAACAACATCACTCTTTGAGAGCTAGATACATCCAATTGACGAGTCCCACTTAAGATGAAATGCGCATCCTGGATTCCACTGCTGGCCACTACCCATCATTACTATATATAACTGGTGTTACTTGAAGAAACAGTTTCTCACCAGTAACTTTTAAATAATGTGAAGCTAAGGAAAACAACGACTCATTTATTTCATACCTATAATTAATTATGACAATCTATTCACTACGAAATATCATATAACAAATGTCGGTAGGATGTATAACATATTAGCCAATATCGAGAAAATCTAAGTGATATTGATTTGAGAAATGATTTTCTGAGATATCACTCGAAAATTCGATTTCTTTCTGAATGTTTTACAAAAATTCTTTGGGTATTTTTAAAAATAGTCATATATTTCACCTCTATTATACCTTGCAAATACATTTCATTTTTGAGCAACTCCCCTGTTTTCATTCTCTATCAATTTTTTTCAGTTCCATTTATCTTTCTCTATCTGACAATTTGATTATGGTAGATAAATTTTAGCAAGCTAGAATTTATAAATGTTAGACTGGACAAATATTTCTACATCTAACTTCTTTCTTTTTTATCATAGTTAAAGTGGAAAATGATTATTTGGACGCCAAACTATTCTTCTATTATAAACTGACGTCCACTGTTATTTCATTTTGTCTCGAGCTTGTATAATTAATGATCCTTGATCAAATTCTGCCTCTTTGATATGTTTCATGTATTTTTTCTAAATCAACGACTACAAACAATTAATCAGATAGATGAACTCTTGAATAATTTCCTTTTGTTAAAATTTTTATTCAAGTCTAATTTAACTGAAATTTTTCAGAGTCCAAATAGGTGGCATTATTTTTTCTGGATGTAGCCTGCTGTTGGAGACATTTTAGAGTATAGGGTTGATTTTTTAAGCATTAATCCAAATTTTTTTTCCCCGTTAATTTCCGAGTTCATACCTTTTTTGTTATGTAGCAAGTTGAAATAGAACGGAAATAAATGTCATAGAAGAGATTTTAAACGTTAGCCATCATAAGTTTTAGGTGTTTATGGGTTTACTTTCTTCTATTTTTCATTTCTTAAATCAGCATTAGTATCGAAATTTTTTTAGAACTGATTCAGTAAATATTCACTTTCAGACATTTCTCATTGAACGCTCTAAACATATAAATAAGCATTATCTAGAAAACCGAGAAGATATGGTGAAAAGCTTGGATCTTCTTTTAAGCTAGTCATTACTGAAAGAAACCTAAATGAAATGAGTACAGGCGTATACGGTTAGATACCGTGATGACAGTTTCATACTAGGGTGAAAGAGTTAGATAGTGGTCGGCGATGTTTAGCTGTTCTTCAGTAGGTTTCAATCTATCTAGAGAAAATATAATGATGA